TAGAGCATGGAGAGCTGTGTCACGTCTCCACCTCCAGCTGTGAGCACAGGCAAACCAAACTCTGGTTTTTAAACCTCCTCTCCTTGGTCCTTAACTCCCCTCACCAGTGCTCTGCCTTCAATGAGAAACTTCTGCACTTGGAAAATGGAGAAGGAAAATCCAAGAAAAAGGATTAGAAAGTGAGTAAGAAGATGCTAAAAAGGCCAAAACCAAATTTGTCTTCAAGTCCTCCAGCGATAGAAGGGAGGGAGATCCAGAAGGCATCATAAAGCAGGGAACACAGAGAATGAAAGGGAGTAAAATGAATAATAAAATGAAATATAAAAGGAAATATAAAAGGAAATATAAAAGGAAATATAAAAGGAAATATAAAATGAAATATAAAATGAAGAGGGAGTAAACCTCCACCACTCACCTCAGCCTTACAACCATTTAATCCCTGCAACCAAGAGCCCAAGAAGCAGAATGTGAAGAGGGAAGAGCCAGAATGTGAAGAGGAAGAAGCAGAATGTGAAGAGGAAGAACAGCTCACTGAACTGTTTGCTAGGGTGACAAAGGACAGGACACGAGGTGTGCTGCCTGCAGGGCTCAGGTTCATACAGCTGTTTGTAATGGATTTTAAATCCTAGCAATTGCCTGGGAGATTAAAACTCAACTTCCCGCCAAGTCCAAAAATCTTAAATGAGCAAAAGCACAGAGAAAGGTCTGATTAAAAAGCTCCCAATTCTCTTCAGGCTTCTCAAGTTTGCCCCTTTGGTCTAAGATGTATCCATTGTACTGCAGAGGCTGTCAAAAGACCTGCAAACACTCAGGTACCATTTACTACTCTGTTTGTTCTTGTTTCAGCCTCTCATCAGGGTATGATGTTTGAAACATTAATGCTTCTGCCACTGTAGCTGGATGAGCATTTCATGGCAAAGCCAAGCCTTTCTGCTAGGCTGGAAGGTATTATCCCTCATGGCTACAGATAAACCTGGCATCACCATGAAGTCTGTCCAACTCTCTTCAATACAGATAAAGATTTCCAAGTGTGCAGAACACAGCCAACACAAAATAACTCAGCCTTCAACTTCTTCTGGAAAAGAGCAGGACAGAGCCAGCAGTACCTCAGAGATGGGGAAGGAGAAGAATCAGCATCAGCAGAACAAGCACTGGCCTCAGAAATGGCAGTGGCTGCACTTCAGAAATTGTTGGGTTTTTTTAACCACCCTAACAGTCATATACTTCAGGATTTCTTTTTTTTATTGCTGGGACAGATGCATACATGCACATTAAAGGCAGCTGTATACAACAGGGAATTTCCTGGTAGCAAGATTTCACATGTATTATTTAAAAAGTGATATCTCCTTCAACAGCTTCAGCTACCAGAAAAAAGCAGATGATAAAAAAGCCTCAGAGGTACAAAACCAAACCAAAATACACCTTACCCTCCCCAAATTCATGTCAACACATGGAGACATGGGTTGACACCTAAGAGTCTGAGTCAGACTGTGGGAGTAGAGTTTAGCAATCCTCAAGCTTAGGTGTTCAGAGTGACAGTCACAAACCCACAGGCTCTGGGCATGTGAAAATTAAAAATGAAGAATTCCAAAGCAAGGCAAAGTAAGATGATGCCCAGCATCTTTCCTGCTTAGTATCTTGCTCAGTCAGGAAGCAGCAGCAGGTGAACATGATGCCACACCTGAATCACAGGCCTGCACACACCCTGTGCTAAAATGCTGTAACTAAATTAATATCTACAACACAGATTTAAAAAGCCAAAAAGCAGAGAACAGAAATAGAGAGCAAGTTCATTCAAGGGATGTTGCAGGGTAATAAGAACAGCTGGAAGGTACCACAATTTCTTACAGCGATATTTCCTGCTTTAATAGCAGGAGAGAAAATATTAAGGGAATCACTTTTCCCCTTTATGCTGCCTATGAACTTGCATTCCTTTTAAACCAGTAGGTATTCTTCTCTATTCAGAGAGGTTTTTTGGAAGGGGGGTTTTTTAGAAAGGGTTTGTTTTTTGCTTTTTTGGCTTGCTTGGACAGGGGAATTTTGTATCTTAAAAAACCAAAACCAAACAAACACTTTGTTTCCTGTCTACAAAAATCTTTAAAGAGTGTAGAAAAACATTATTAGAGTAACAAAAAATTTTAACAAGTTTACTAGTTAATTAACTCAAGGTTATACAGTCTTTAAAGTGTTGTATTTCCACTTTTTTTTCCTTTTTTCTGATTTTAAGAAGTTCTGAATACAGTTTATACGAATCAGAAGTGAGGTGCCTTCAAGGATGGTTGATTTCCTGTTTAACACTTGCAAGGGATGGCAGAAGGGCAGACTTTGTGATTTTTGCAGGTATTGACATTCCAGGCCTGCAATTCACCTCTTTGTGCAAACACAGGGATTTCTTCTGTAAAATTAATAGTGAAATTGTGGCTCTTCCCTTCCAAGGGGTGAGCTCTGAGAGCAAAGTGCCCTGCAGCACACAGAACTCGGTGCCTACAAAGAGCACCAGGCTTCTATTTCTCATTGATGCAAAGCTGTAAAATCCAGTGATGAGGGCTGTGAACACTTCTGTATGCTTCAACACCAAAGTTTCATTAACCTGGATTTTTTTTGAAGTTTCTAAAAGCAAAACCCTCCCAGTGAAATTGTCACTGAGTTGCCAAATGAATCAGTACACAAAATATGTATGATATACAGGCACATCTTAAATAGTGCTAGCTGTTCAGGGCTCTTCCCAAAATACAGCAGTAATCCAAAGCACATATTTCAACTTTATGAACCTTGTGATGATGGTTTAAGGCATGGCATGATCAGCATTATTTTATTATAGAAATATTTTTCTGTAACAGAAATAAATACACGTGTATTTCTAAGGTACTTCATATCCACACAATATAAACCTTTAATCTTTCCCTTAACTATACTTAACTACCTTACACATACAAGTCTATGGATTTAAAGTTACCTTTAGATAAAACAAAAAATAAAAATATAGATATAAAAAAATTAAAGACACTAAAACCTGCAGCCTTTGATGGAAATAACCACTCTGGCAGTGCAATGACAACAAGACATGGCCTTGCAAAGGTGGAATGTACCCAAAACGTTCACAAATGCCAGGAAGGCAACATCTCTTTCAAACCTGTATTTTCTTTGATGAAATGAGTACTGATCCCAGAAGAACCTGGAAAAAATTACTGAGCAGTATTTATTTAATGCAACTACAATCCTGTAATGCATTTTGCCACAAGCCCTTCTCAGTATTAATGCCCTTAAGAATTTGAATCTTCTAACTCTGGAATGAACAGCATGAAACCAATTTGCAGTAGAAGAGGGAAAAAAAAATAAATCACTTCTATTTAATTCTTCCATATTACATTTTAGTAGCCCAAAGTCCTATTCCTTGTTTTTTTTCAAGGCATTCCCCCCCAAAAGGGAGTCCTAGTGAAAGATCCAGGGCAAAATACTCCCCATTTAAAGGAAAAAATCTTTGACACTTTGATATAAAGTTAACTGTTCTCTGCAGAAGTCTGTTTGCCTTTACAGCCAGGAAAGCCCTGTGAGCAGCAGAACTCAGACCCACAGACCCCAATTTCACAAGTTCAGCTAATAACTCTGGACAACATGAACTCTCACAACAAATAGGTTCTGGAGCACTCAGATGTTTACAGAGCAGCAGCATCAGCTTCCTTGTTAAAAAGTATTGTTATATGTTTTATATGTTATAAAGTATTTTTGTTTGTCACTGTGTGATGGGGGAATTGAAGCAGGGCTCTTGGAGTAGGAGCCTGGCCACCATCACAGCAGGACCAAGCTCTCACACAGCAGAGTTCTGTCATTCTGCAGGGACTCCTCGTTAAGCAATGCCATCTTCTTACAGGTAAATAACTTGCTTACTTTTAATTACACTCTCAAAAACCAAAAAGGCACCAGTTTACATTTAAGTGTGTACAATCTACACAGTGTTGGCTTTAAAAATGGCACTGATGTATTTCAGTTCTTCAAAGAAAAACACAAATAAAAATAAAAAGCAAAATAGCATTCTCTAAAAATAAAAGATAAATAAAATTAATGGCTTATACATCTGCACTTGTGTAGCAGATTTACAAGCGAACTTTTGAGACGGATTTTATTTCAAAATAAACCAGATGTTTGATCCTGACTGAGTGCTGTGTGCAGCCCCAAGGAGCTGTAAAGCCTCAGTGTCCTTCAGGCACACTCAAAGTGGTATCAGGAGAGTCCCTGGAAGCATAAGGGAGGAGAGGACAAATGGTAGAAAAGGAGGAAACAATTCTGCAATACTCACAACATCACTATGAAGAAAATGCAACACATGACAGTGCAAAAAAGAAATATTGCTGCAATTAGGATTCAATGCACTCTGCTTATACTGAGCACTGCTACACCCTCTTACAAAGCTTCTGTGGCTAAGACACCTGGTTTCCTTCTGGGTATTCCATACAGAAATGGATTTAGTGGATGCTTCAAGGTACATATGGCCATCAAAACATTTCTGAAGGGAGCAAAAGAAGTGAGCAGTCTCTATAAAAGAGGAAACTACAAGGGATATTAATTCCTCCTATTGGAGGAATGTTTAATTGAAAGTATTAACTTTTAATTAAATTATTATGCCTAAAAAGACAACAATGCTATTGGTAGCTTAGTGCTCAGAGTTACAATGACTGGTGTCTGCCCTGGGTTCCAACAGAGCTCTAGTTCAGTAAGACCACTGAAAGGCAAAAAAAGCCTCAATGCAGAGTGAGTGAAAGTACAAAAGAAATACCAGAGGATGGAGATGCCTCCAAACTGCAGTGACACATTCCTGTTCTCCTAGCCCCTAACATCACATACTGGCCTACTTCTGCCCCACTGCAGTTCCAGGAATAGCAATGGTGACAAAAAACTTGTCCCATTTAGTCTTGTGCTGCACTCACTGTGGGATTAAAGCACACTCAGACATACCACCTATCATCAAAGTGCACTGCCACAAAAACAATGAAGTTACAAAATTTACATGGACAAAACAAAAATTTTTATTAGCAAACAAGTAAAGATTCATCATCACTGGTATTGTTTTCAGAGAGGGAAGTAGATGACTGTAACATTGGCACTTCCACAGAATGGCAACAAGCTGCATGAACACCCAAAGGCTCCTCCTGGTATGAGTTAGGGCAACATTGGTTTTGTCCATTCACTTGGATATGAACATTCATAGGGCTGTCTGGATAACCAGATTCCCACTTTTTTAAGGGTAATCTACATGGATCTTCACTCAGTGGATGACTTCCACTTAAACTACTGTCCTCTGGGACAGTCCTCCTGGATACTGACCCTCCATGGATCGTTTCTGTAACACTTTCAGATAAAGGATCTCTGAAAGCCTTTCCTGTATCTACTTTACTGGACTGCTTAAGCTCTCTGTCAGAGTCAGCACTTGAAGATTTATCAGTGTGTCCAGCCTCAGGCTCTGCATGTGCTGCTGTGCAAGTATTTGGCTGGAAGATGTTGGAAGGCGATGGCTCTGTCACTTCAGTCTCTGGCTGCAGGCTGCTACATCCAGCTTCTTGTGGGCCCCTGGCTTGGCCGTTTGCCTCTAAACTGGGTCCTTCAGGGGAGGGTGGAGGACTCTGAACAGTGCCACCAGCACTGCTGATGATGCCATCACCCAGTGTAGTCTGTGAGGTGCGGGCAGGTGTCAGGAGGGGGATCTGTCCTCTCACCCGAGGTCTGTGGAAGAGTCTGTTCCAGAGCCTGCCCAAGCGCCGCCGGGATGAGCTCCGTCTTGACGAGTGCCGCCTCATCTGCCTCCTCATGGCTGTTCGAATGTTCTGCAGCACAGAAGCCTGGAACACAGAGGGAACAAACATTAAAAACCAGCATTTCACACGTACTCAAAAGATTTCTGATCCCTGTGCTTCCTCCTTCAATGCCCCATTTCCTAACAAACTATTTGAGAACACCAAAGACAGCTCTGCCTGCACCAAAGACTCTCATAGACTCATGGAATGGTTTGGCTTGCAAATGACCTTAAAGATCATCTAATTCCAAATTCCCTGCTGTGAACACCTCCCACTGGACCAGGCAGGTCAGTGCCCCATCCAACCAGGCCTTGAACACTGCCAGGGAAGGGCAGCCACAGCTTCTGTCCCTTACAATGTTTCCTTTATGAGTTTAAGCTCTACTTGTCCACCTAGGATGTTCATTTTCCACTGGAGTAATAAAAATATGAGTACTTTATCACATCAGGAACTGTATCTCAGTTGGATACTTCTGACAGGGTACAGGAGTTTTCTGAGCACGCAGCAATGAAGTAGAATGACTTCATGGCTTGCTTGTAAATGAAAATGCAAATGAAAAACAACCATTTTGGAAAACTAAGGATTTTCCAAAAATACTGCTATAGATTTCATTTTCTTATCATTTCAGGTGCATTTACAGTTTCAGCTTGAAAAGCCTTGTTTTCCCATTTACCTTCTGACCTTTCTCTATTCATTCTGTCTTGATGTACAGCAAAAGTGCTTATCTCACTGCTGTCCCCCAACAAATACATTTCATGTGCTCAAAACCACCCACAGCACCAGTGGAACTATGCTTCTTCAGCTCCATGTAACGCATACATGTTTTTATATTACTTCCATATAATTCGCACAGCCACTGAAATACAGTTCCAGATAGATTTTATCTAATTTATAGTAGTTTGGCTGCTGGCAAAAGTTTCACTGGCACTTGTCTGCATACTTGTGATGCATTGTACACGGGGAAATCTTCAACTGGGGGAATCAGTCCTTGTGCAATCAGCTGTCCATAGGAAGGTGGAGCTTCCCGCCGCACAAACTCTGCCTCCAGTCGCGTCATCTGAGTCTCAAACGCTCTGGAAACGGAACCAGAGAGAAAACGTGGAAGAGAAGTAACAGTTTGTCCTGCCTCCCCGACACTAATGTGTAAAAAAACACTGCCAAAGGGATCATGGTAGGAGTAAAACCACAAACCCTCCACTAAGCGCTATGAAAATCTTAACAGGATGCTGAAATCAACAAAAGGACTAAGAGAACAGGATACAAACATGAATGAATCAAACCAGCACACTGTCTAGTGCAGGCTCAGGCTGGACATTGTGGCAAATGAAGTTTTTTCAAGTGGCCAGTAACTGCTGAACCAGTAACAGCAGTAACCTGTTCAGCAAGGGCCCAAAGGTTATTTTTGCAGAAGACATTAAGAAGTGGAAACAATCACACAACAGGGGCAGCTTGCAGTTGCAGAGAGGTTTGCCAGTCCTGCCAGAACAGAGGCACTGAAGTTCCCACCTTAGCACAGCAGCTCTTTTGCAGGTCCTTAATCACACAGACTTGATCAGGAGAGAATGTAAAGCACCCTATTTGAAACACAGGGTCAGCAGCACAGGAGGAGATGGGAACCAGAAAGTCCCTTATGAGTCTCTCCTACAAGGCAGAACCCCACTTGCACATACATGTAACACACAGGCAAAGAATCACACACACTACACCTAAAATGAGGCATACAGAACCAGGGAAAAGGGGCACACCATGAACAGCTCCTGCTCAGAACAGGCCTCACCATAGCCAGACATCGCTTTTAACAGAACTGAGAACTGGAGTATTTGGGGAGGGGTGAAGGGTTATTTAATGCAGATTCAGTGAAGACTTCACTGTAGCAGTTCAGCATTCAGTTTATGGCAGGGGCAAGGGGTTTCTTGCAAGTGGATGAGAAGGAAAAGGAAACTGCTCAAGACAGATTAGGCTAGATACAGATTCTGCCATAGTGCACAATAAACTTGTACTTCTCACAGACCACAGAAGAGCTGATTTCCGCTCACTACTCCCAGAAATCTTCTCTTGGCCTAATTCACCTGTCATCAAGTCCCTGGATTTGATTTCACAGTATTTTGCAAATTCTCTGGTTAAGAATCAACTTTTTTTTTTCCTTTTAACAAAATGGAAAAAACCAGCACAGCTATGAAAGCATCAGCAAAGCAAGACACTTACCTGTATTCCCTGGTCCTCAGAGAATATAATTTAAATGCACAGCCCAGTGCTATCACTAGCAGCAAGCCACACACGAGACTCCCAATCAGAGCAGCTGTGATGACCTTCCTGGGAACAATCACCAGGCAGTTACGCTCATCACTTCCATCCTGGCAGTCTTCTTGGCCATCACAGCGCCAAGTCTCAAAGATGCACAGATTTGTCCCACAATGGAAATTTCCTGGCTGGCAAGTAAAGCAGTTCTTTTCATCTGAGCCATCTGGACAGTTCTTCTGGTTATTACAGCGGTCAAGTACTGAATAACAAAGCCCACTGTTTCCTTCGCATGGGTATTCGTTCTTCTGGCAAGCAGGACAGTTCTCCTCATCCTTGCCATTTGGACAATGCCACCAGCCATCACAATGCTGCTTATCAGTGAAACACTCCTCATCACTTCCACAAGGGTGTTCCCAAGGAAGGCAATAGCCTTTCACCTGATAGGTTGCATTGAATCCGTGGCCAGTGCTCTTGGAGCGGGCATGATAGGAGACAGTGAGCTGGCCCTTTGACGACTCCACACTCACCGAATGCCGATTGTTGTGGTGTGAGAACGTCTGCATTAATTTATCACCTCTCTCTCCAATGCCATCATACACCTTTACATAGTCATTGTAGCCTAACTGCAAATCCAGCTGCAGCAGAACGTGCCTGTTATCCTGCGTGTCCACATACCACGTGCAACGAAGGTCTGACCTGCTGTGATCAGCACGGAACAAGTCTGGGGAGGCAAAAGATCCGTAAAAATTACCCAGCCTTTTGCCACAGGAAAGATCAGGACAATTGTCTTCGTCCGAACCATCACCACAATCTTTAACTGAGTTACATCTCAGCTCGTTCATCAAGCACTTGGTGGAGTGGGCTGCGCTGCACTGAAACATTCCTGAGGGACAGATGCTGGATGGAGGGTCTGTTGGAGGGACAGTGCAGTTTTTCTCATCTGAGTTATCACCACACTCATCCATGGAATTACACTTCCAAGTACTGGGAATACACTTCCCATTTGCACAACGGAATTCATCTGACTGGCACACAGACTGACCTATCTTTCCTGTGAAAGAGAACAAGCAGAGAAAAAAATCAGTATCAAACTTTCAGAACTATGAGATAATCGCTTTTCAACATCTACTGCCATGCATGTCACAAGCTAATGAGTCAGGCCAGTACCCTTCAGCAACACTGTTAAAAAGCCACATGCAGATAATATCAGTGTGACCACACCAATACTTTACAGTCATCAACAGCCATCACCTGTCTTGTAAAAAAAGTCTTGCAAAAAAAGCCTGTCTTGTAAAAAAGTACTACTGTCTTCCAAGTTTTGCCAGAGAGAGTATAAAGTGAAGCAACAAACCCATAAGATTTTACCTCTAATATAGGAAAGGCGAAATCCCTGAGCCTGTCCTGAGCTTGATGCATCTGAATGAAAAAATATCCACACATGGTCCCTTGCAGAGATGAAAGATGGAGGTATGGAAGATCCACACACTTTGTACTCCTCCCTCTTGGAAGACGGGCCAATCATCAGCCAGTCTACTGCACACTTCTGAGAGTCTTCCAAATCAAAGTTCTTAAAACTGTTAAGAACAAAAGAAAGCACGAGTTACAAAGAGGACATGTGTCTGGGACAAAGCCTAACAGAAAGAACTGACTCTAATGGCTGACTTTCTGCATCGTGCAGTGCTGACAGACAGGTATTGCATTCAAAGGTAATGAAACATCTACCTTCTGTACACTAAAGCAAAGCACATCCCCCAGTGTGGAAAAGCACCCATCTCACAGGCATAAACATCATACCAAAGTAGCTCCAAAAGCTGAAAGAATGATTCCTCTTTCACTCAGTCCTTAAATAAAACTGCTTCCTAAAATACAGATACAAGGAAAAGCAAAATTCTGAAATATGTTATACAGAAAGTAGATTAATTTCAGTAGTCATTTCCAACCGTAAAAGCAAAATCTAACACCATTATCTTTTAATTCAAGGATTAAAGATTAAAATAAAGATAAAACTTTCTGGGAGTGCAAATGCAGAGCAAACAGGACTATAACCTTTTACAAATTTCTAGCCCTTCTGCTGCCACAAGCCAAGTGATTATTCAGTAGTAGCTTATCTAGTGCAGAGAGGTTCCCTGTTTACAGAACTCTGCACACAACTGGAAAATGCTCCCTAACCTGGGCTCAGGAACCATATGTGGCATTTGTTCTCTGATGAAACAGATTGCACTTGTATTCAGCCATCTGCAATGACAATAGCAGATTGCAGACTGCACAGAAAAGCATACTCATTAGGAAAGGGCACACTGTTCAGAACACTTAGAAATTAATTTTGGTCCTTTTTTTATGTAACTCAACTACACCAAATTAACTTGGTAGAAGTTTGTGCATAATCCATGCAAATATCTAGACAGAATTTTCAGAAAGCTCCTGCAAAATACAGATCTCCTTCCCTAAAGGATTTTTCACAAACAGCAAAGACAAACTCTTTGAAAAAGATAAATGGAAAGATAAATTTTCTGGTATCAGTGTGTATTTACAAGAGGCTGTCAATGTCTGCCAGATCTTGACCTCTGAATTTGAAAGGGAAAGAACTATGTAAACTAGCTAATTAATTTAAATAGGAGACTCAGCCTACCCACACCTGTAAGTTCTGCCAAACATATTGGCTTAAATAACTCTCCAAAATAAATTTATCAGCAAGAGCATGAGAAGTAAGAGAGCACTGAAAGTGATAAGTTAAAATGGAAATTAAGAGATGACAATATATGTGCAAGGACAATCCACCCAGAAATGTCCTTCCTCTTCTAACTCTTCTTCTCCCACCAACCTCTGTGTGTCTTCCCAGCTGTGAAGAAATATTCCCACAGCACTCAATTCTCTGCTGTAAGGAATCTCATCAAGCTTCTGAAATCAGCATATTTTGCCAAGGAAGTTTTAGATGACTATGCAGCCAAAATAAAAAGATTTAAGTACTCAGCCATTCAAAGTATTTCTGCTACAGGTATTCTGCATAAAATGTTTTAATGACCAAGAAAGGAAACAGCCACTGCATCATGGAAAGGAATTATCCAAAGCATCAGGGAAGCTATAGGTACTCACATAAAGTTTGTTGGTTACAGGAGATGTGAGACAGCATTACTGAGCTTGCACATCAGTTTTGCTCTCTCATTTTGGCACCACACATCATGTAGGGTTTCTATCATCTACTTGGAGGATTGTTCATAGGAATTTTTTTATGAAAACTTTTTGGCTAAGTGTTAGAAATACCTATCTGCCCAACAACAACAGGTTTTAAGAAAAGGGAACAGTCACTAAATCAAGAAAAGGAAACTCAAAACTGGGATAGGGGGTGGGAATGACTAAAAAAATTCTGTTAGTATGATACAAACAAGTTAATTTGCTAAATCTTTTGATCTTTTATAGTTATTTTAGATCAACCTTAAAGAGGCAAACAAATTGTTCTCCTATCTTACCCAGCTCCCAGCACTCCAACTGGGTCCCACAGCCACTCATTTTCCTCACTCTGCTGAAAAGAGCTACTTTTGTCTATCAAATAAATACTTCAGCCATAACATGGTTACACAACACAGACTGCACAAACTCTGGGGAGTATTTGCCTATACAATAAGCTGTCTATAACTCACTTTAAAATGTGTTTCTTTCTAGAAAAAAAAAAAAAAAAGAAAAACATTTAACACTTTAAAGATTCATAAAAGGAAGAGTACAGAAATATCAGCTACATGCAGGTACCTTGTTCACAAACTCCTTTGCAGATGACAGCAATACCTCCCAAGAGCCTGCATTTGTGTACAATTAGTATATTTTACTTGCACCTTGAAAGTCTAGTGTTGTACACTGCTAATAACCAATTTTTTTCGGTTGTGGAAGAGAAAGAACCTTAGTTCCAGCTTCCAATGCAGAAGTCCAGGCATACAGAGGCTAACTGATTTTCCTGAGTGTCACTTGTGGATCTTAGACAGATTCAGAGTAGAATCCCATACCTCTTCACTAATAAATCCAAACTTCAGGCACAGAGTACAAGGATGATGAGGCAGAATAGACTTGCAAGGAAATAGTGAGTTTAATAGATTCCCTAAAAACACCATGCCTCTTGGAGATACACAAGCTACTGAAAAAAATGCCTTGGTATTCAAAAAGGGCAATACAGAGTATTCGCAAGAACAAACTGTTTTACAAAAACAAACATCTTAATCCCAAGTGCCTAGAAGTTTCAAACACAATTTTTCTGTGTATGTTCTAGTTCTAATGTGAAGTTTTATGTGTAATAGATACCACAGCAGTTATAAAATTTCTTTGGCTAAGAGCCAAAGCAAAGTCAAAACAATTATGTTCCCCCTTATGCAAACTAATGAGCGGATGTATTTTCAACAAATTTTCCTTTGATTAAGGCATTGTCACTCTATTTCAGCAACCTTTTAAGTTATATTGCCCCTACTAGAAGCAAATTTTACCTTATTTACATTGATGGTGTTTTTACACAAGACCAGAAGGATGATACACTTGAGCAAGCCCTCACCACAAAAACCACTACCTTCTAAAGAAACATGGAAACAATATGAATCCATATGTTTGCACTCGTAAGTATATAAAATCTGGCTTCACTTTATAATGCATTTCTGACAAGGTTTTGTGTTAGAAGTTTCTGCCATTCTACTCTGACATTAAGTGACCAACTGATTTATTTTAGCCAAGAGTCCTGAATAGTGAACTCAGCCTCTACTGCTTTACTTCTTTCATCATCTCTAATTAGATCTAGAGCTGCTCTGTTACAGTCCTCTGAAGAATAACTTAATCCTGCTACCCACAAAACATTTATTTATTCAGCTGAGCTTTCTCAAACTGGAATGCAAATTTTTCTACCAAAAGGGTAAGTCCAGTGGTTGAATGAGTATTGGTACACAGTGAAAATATGGGACAAAGATGTGTGTCTGTACTGCTTGTAGGACTACACTGACACTGTACAGTCTTTGGAAAAGCACTGAAGTCTGTAGTTACTCTTCTTGAGGGAAGTCTCAGACCTTTTGTATCAGAAAACTACATCATTTTTTGTGACTAAAACAAGAAAGAGGAGCCATAGTGAAAGAGAGAATACTCCTGTATAATCCATATCTCATGAAGCACCAGACAGTACTGTGGTATTTTTAAACATCTTGGGGAGGGAAGCACAGAATTTGAGAGGAAAGGTAAAAGACAGGTTTGCTCAGTCACTAATCCTCTCCAGCAAAGCCCTCTGACAGTTCTGCAGGAGTGGAATGGGGACCCAGAGATCCACCCTACCATGTAAGCTGCAGTACACAGGTACTTTGCAGTGTACTCCTTACGCCCTGCACCCCACCTGCTCCAGACATCATCCTTCCCCCAAGAGCTGCACTCCCACAGCAATGCTCCCCTGCTTTGGCATCTTGGCACTTGGTGATAAAGGGAAGGAGAACCTGGCTTTCCTCCAGGCTTTTTCCTCTCCACAACCAGAGCACACAGCCCTAGCTCACAGGGCAGGGAGAGGAAGAGCAGTCAGACATTGGTATTTCCAGCACTAGAACTACAATGTCAACAAAATACAACACCCATCACAGAACAACCTTTAAGATGGCCTGGCCCTTAGGCTGTTCCCACTGCTACCTGTGGATCTCCAAAACAATACAGGAATATAGAACAACACTGGTGTACAAGATCAAAACCATTGGACCAAGTTTTGCAGGTTTTCTTTCTCCTGAAAGATGCTATTGTCTTGCTCTTGGAATGTCTTTTCCAAATTTTTACAGAAAATTTACAACAATAGCCTATTAAACACTTAAAGCATTCAGAATTTAAGATCAGAACAACTCAATGTGAACTGAGAAATGCAGCGCTAAGTCTTGTTTTTACTGAATTCTGTAGAAATCAGTAAACTCATCTGATTCCTCTTTCCAGTGGCATGATACTGAAAAAAGAGGTTACCTCCAATGGTGAGCAGAACTCCAGGAGTTTACAGAACATCACAGGGTTAGCTATATATATCAGTTCTCACCTATGTACTCACATGAAGTAACAGCCTACAATGGTTATTATCTGACAAGTATTTTCATGTTGCTTCATTAAACCAGACTATCATAAACACACATTAATACTCTATGTCATTAATACTCTATATATATGAGGAAAAATGTGCTTCCTGCAAAATTAATGCTTAGCAGAGCTCTGTTTTTTTGCCATCTGTACTGAAAGGAACAGTAGCAGCTAGGAAATAAAAGTACTTCTATAAATAACGTAGGGAACTCTGTACAACCCTTTCAGTAATTTAGGCACAAGGGACTACAGATTAAAGAAAAATAAAGCTTTCTTAGTAACTGGAAAAGGACAAACATGGGATGCAAAATCTGAATGAAAGCTATTAGAAAATAAATAAAAAAGTAAATGTCCAATTTGGCTCTCTAAACTGATTTTAAAAATTGGAGAATAAATATTATGGATAGGTCAGTAAAGCACAGTCCCAAAATAAAACCAACCAACCAATTAAGCAAGAAAAGTTACTTCTATTTGCCAACTTCTCACAGAAAGTGTAGATTGTGAACAACTGATGACTTAATTGGCTCATTAAAAACTTCTGCTTAACCACTGAAGCACAAGGACCTGAAGTCAGGAAAGCTCTATTCTACTCCCAGCTCCCAAGCACCAGCTAACTGCATAACCTTGGGCAAGAGACATTGGGACTATTTCTTCAAAAGCTGAGCAACTAAATGGCTATTTTGAATTTTTTTCCAATTAATGTCAAGTTCTGAAATACAATGAGTTTGGAAAAGAGACTGAAGCAGTTTCTTTAACTCCTCACACAATTACAGACCAGCAAGAACATATGAACAGACCCTAATTTTATAGTAATCTTATGCAGAAATTGAAACTCAAATGGTACCTGACAATTTATTTTTTCAAAGCTAATGTTATGAATCACTGAAGTGAAAGCAAATGAAGGTGATCCCCTCACCTCAATTAGTAACAGAAAGCTTGAGTGGGTCACTAAGTAGATCTCTTTCCAATACCCTTAAGCTTGAATTCTGAACATGGAGACATTTTACTCACAGTCCCCTAAATTCCAATAATAAAATAGTAAATTTATACTCCACCCACACCAGGGTTAATTACAACCATCAAGTAACAGCAACTGGTAAACAAAAATTTTTTTCATCTTTTTCTTAGATATGAGGAAACATAAACCTATAAAGCCCATAAACAATGGTACAAAGGCAGTTACTGCATATGACATCTTTGTCTGATCTTACATGATTTTATGCAATCGTCTCTGAGAAGAAGCATAAAAATACAGAAAATGGATGGACAAATCAAGTAGTTTCCAAAACAATAACTAGCAACTGATTACCTGAATTTAAAGAGACATAACATAGTCCTGGAAAACAGTGACTACAGACTTGTTCACAGGTCTCAATGGAACCATTCCATCAGACACACAAACTTGAAAGTACTGAAATATGCATATAGAGTGGTATAAGCACAAAGAACACATACTTCCTGTTCATGGAAAGCTCCCTCAAGGATTTCTAAAAAGTAAACTATAAAACAAAACAATTAGCATGGAAATGTGAGGATATGAAGAAAATCAATATACACATGAAAGATAGGCATTAAGATATAGTTTCTAAAGGAGATGGCCACAGAAGCAAACATCTTCCTTACCTGGTCACAGTTCTACAAGTAAGCTGCTGAAAATTAGGTTTATAAAAAATAACCACCAAGTGCAAACAGTTTAGAAATAAAAAATACTTTCAATTGCAATTCTATCCCTTAATGATTCCTGCTGTATCTCACTATATAGATCTCTTACATAAAGATCTATATAATGCTGTCTTATTGTCAATGAGAATTCAAGATCAAAGGAAGTGCATGCTGTGTAACACAACACAAAGGAGATGGAGTTTTTTGAAACCTTTCAAAATCCAGATGTTAGCACAAGAACTGTGTTTGATTTTCCTAGGAAAATTTTAAAAGCTACTCTTATGCCCTTACCAACACATTGTTAGAAGAAGCAGCATATCCAGCTGGAAAGCAGAAAACATGTTTGCATTTGAAACCTCCTAGCCTAGGCAAGTCAGCTCCTTCTTTCACATCCTTGGCACTGCAAGGGCAACAGCCTTGTATAGAAATCCTCAGATGCTGTAACATTTTGCATTCACACAGTGGAGTGAGTCATTCCAAGTACATTTATAGTCAGAAACATAACACCACAACACTAGTCCCTGGGATGTAAACACATAGTTTCCATTGTTTGCATGTGCAGAGGAGGGCAGGATATGGCTGTGTATTCAGTGATAGAAAACAAACCCATTAAGAAGAAATTTTTCAAGTCATATTGCAGTGCATACATCTAAACTGTACACACATTATTACCAGTTGCCACACCTCATGTTCCTTTGTTTCTTTAGCCTCTGTTATACTCATACTAGCAGAAGAGAGTCCTAACTCTAGCTGGAGCTCTGAGACACTTCCATAGCATAAACTGCAGGATTATTCTCCAGTCAAGTCTGTGTCTCATTTGTATGCTTTCTCAGTTTCCAACAATCTCTGCTTTGAGATAAATTCCCCACATCCAATGTAATGTAATGGGGTTTAAAAGCATGTTTCTATTTATGAATTTCAAATGCTGGCAGGTATTTACTTCACTACTTTTGGTGAGTAGTTCCTATTTAGAGCTATGGATGGTGGAGCCTTCCTATTATTCCATCTGTGGCAGATTTGTTTTCAATTTCTGAGCATCTGCACTTGAAGAGGTTTTGCAGTCCTTCTAAGCTGCTGAGCAAAGAATGAGCAGATGGTGTCAAATGTAACAGTACCAAACCCCCTCCCAAAAAAAAACTTTTCCTATGTTTTATTTTTTAAGTAAGAAATTCTTGTTCGTGAAGGATCCTACCATTAGCCCAGACAAATTAAGCACATTCACAGTATGCTCATATTGCACCCTAAACATTCCTAACAAACCATTTCCAGTACATTTTAGTCTTTATTGAATAACATTTTTCTAGAATTGAGCTGAAATTGTACCACAAATGCTAACTATTATTTGATTTGTTGGAAAGAAATACTAAGCAGAAAAGCATGTACCTCTTGATAAACAAGTAACAATAACCAATAATTATCTTCAACTGTCATTAAACATAGCACCATTTCAAGACATTACTGAAAATGCCATTTTTGCTCTAAGAATTTTACATGCCCACTGAAGCTGTTCCAGGTTTTATAGCCTTCACCAGCCCCTATTTATAAGCAATGAAGGGAAAGGGGACTATTTAATGTGAGTAAATATATTGCTGTTTCCCACTGCCTCGTCTGTCAAGGGTATACAAAATCTCACACAGGCATTGTCAAGATAAATACAATAAAGGACCACAAGTGACTTCTGTAATAATGGATGTCAGAAGTAGCCTACAGAAGCAAGACACAGGGAAGCATTTTTTAAAAGAGAGAGGTGCCCAACCTGGAACCATGTTCCAGTGTAACCAGTTTTGGCTTTCTCTGATCACCCCACGGCTCTGAAGACAGCCTCACACTGGTGTATCAGGTAAACCCACATTTTGTTTTATTTCAGCAAAGCAATCCTTTACCTCCACAAATAACAAACCATACCTAATTGTTATCATATCTCCATGATCTCCTTGAATGTACCAGCTGCAGTTTATGGCTGGAGGATAGTTTGATGGCCAAGAAGGACTGTAGATGACTCCCCGTCTCTCTGTGTGCTGTTCCAGTTCCCCACTGCAAGCAGCTGTTAATAAGGGGACAAAAATAATATTGTTAATGCTTTGCCTCATAACAATTCATAATAGCTTCAAGAGCTTTCATCAGTTCCTGGAGACTGCAGACATACAAGAGCCAACAGTTTTATCCTCTTACTTCTTTCTTCCCTGCCCTGTTTTTTAATTAAGACACCCACACCAAGTGTAGGTAAGCATAACCTGCATTTCAATGCAGGACCAATCAATAATCTTCTATGAATCTACCACAGGCTACAATCAATATTACTGCATGGATCTGCCAAGAGGATGTAATACAGGAATCCTTCTTACCAGCTTCCCAAAGCCTAGGTAGGTCACCCAGCAAGAGAAGGAGATGTGTATTAACCAGTGACCATTACTAAAGTACTCCAAATTCCCTCTGAACCCACATAGATGGGAAAAATTTTCAAGACAGGGAAAGGAGCAAGCAAGGCCACCAAATAAGGCTCAGCATTTTCAAAGTACATTTAGTTCTTCCTATGGAAGACAGCAGGCTACATCAAATACTTATAATTTGTAATTAAGCAATTCAAAAATGAAAATTAAATGTTCCAAGGACAAGTTGAAAAGCTGTTCTGATAGACAAACATACTCCAAGCAGAGTACAAGAAGGAAAATTCTCTGTAATGCAACAGCTATTCTGAACATTCTCCAAAAATATTATTTAAACTCTTTTTAAAACAAATTACTATCTAGAGCATGACTTGTGGACTGCAGCTGAATATTTCAGTTTTTGACATAAGCTTACATTCCTGTAGCTGAAAAACGTAGCAAAGGAAAAAAAAAGGTTGACTATACCTTGTCAACCTCATACACATATGCATCCAAATACACTGCACTAGAAATGAGAGATTTACAGTATGGCTTGAAATCCAGCCACATAAATACACCATTTTCAATTCCCAGTCAGGACACATTTGGCTGCACTGGGGGATGGAAGGAAGGAAGGAGTACCAGCAAAGCTACTTGGCTGCAGTCAAGAGCTCCTGCTTGGGGCTGGGCTGCAGCATGTCCCCTCCAGGAAACCTAGGCCTGGCACTATTCTGTTTGTTCACAGTAAGCACTTTTGAAGTGAGAGCCACAGGAATACAAAAAGCATAAGGTGAGTAACTTACCTGAGGCAAAACATAAAAATACTATTATTTTCACTCTCCAGGTAGAACATTCCACTGAAATACATCTATATAATTCCTACTACTTTCAAAGGCCACAAAAACATAGAGAATACATAAATACATGAAAACATCTGTTTCCAAACAAATATTTTGCAGTAATAAAGTTACAAGAACATTTTTGTTATCATATTTCTAAAACCAGTGTGGGGCTCAACGACAGATGCTGGAAAATACTGAGATGCAGTTGCAATTATAGAATTATAAAAGGAAATGTAAGATCCACAGAATTTTTCAACTCCAATTCTCAGTTTCTTTAGGTTTATAACTGTGCTCCTCCACATACCTATTACTTCATCAACGTACCACAGCAGCACAAGAGGAGCAGCAAAGGATGCATTTCCTGTCAGGTTAATAACACTTCAAAATGGGAAGGAAACAATGCACTAAGTGAAAGAACAAATACAGCAGACAGCATTATCCAGAGGCTTCCAGTAACACCTGTTTCTGCTGCCCTTGTACCAAATTATGTTCTAGATTAATATCCCTTATTTATAGTATTTGCAATAGAACAGAACTTATTTCCTTTCCGTCCTGAGGAAGTCCCACTGACAGGCTGATGGCTCCGCATCAGCACTTCCATTCACACATTCATCAGTGTAGTTAGCAGAGCTATTATTCTCCCAAATACTTGTTTCTCAGTTTTAGGAAGTAATTACAAAGACTGAGCAATAGTTACTTAAGTATCCCAGCTTTTTAGAAGTAATATCACTACATTTTTCTCTTTTGGAATAACATAATTTCATAATGTAGAGGATCTGCTGTAACATCACAGTTCAGGTCTTCAATGAGAAATGCTTTTCTTATTAACACTGCATATCTGATATAAATGTGAGGCAAGAAAAAACAAGTAACAAAAGAAATAGATTTTTTCTTCTAACCAGAAGAATCGTAGCTGTGCAAATCTAAGGACATGGTGAGGCAAGGGCTGCACTGACACTCTATGCCATTTTTGGCAGTTCATCTGACAATGGCTACTGTTGCCAATACTTTACCATGGCCTTATCCCCTCTGACACACATCAAGCATTTCAGACTTGTCCTACTCAGAATCAAATGGACAATTGTTTGCCTCCTGCAAAGGGTCCTGCTTTGAATGACCCACAAATCTGAATTAATATTCACTTCAGTTTAAGACAATTTAAAGCAGAAGCCTCTAGGTCTAGCTATCTCCTTCAGGGGTCCAAGGAAGTAATGAATGTGAGTAGATAAGGGAAAAAATAACCCTTTACTAACAAGCAGAATAGCAACAGTCAGAAACAAAGAGACCCCAAACAAAAACTTCCAGGCCCACCTCCCAAGATGGTGCTCTGGATTTCGAGCATGCGGGTCAAAGGACAAAGGGGAAATGGTGTCACTCTTTTCTCCACCAACTCTCCCCACTGTCCTAGCTCTCACTTGGCTTATCTCCTGGCGGCTGGAGCCCTGACTGAAGTTCTTTGGAGCAGGGGCTGGACACTCACAGAGGCACTGTGTGCGGCTGGAGGCAGGGCAGGCAGGACAGGGCGCTGGGCAGGGTGAGCTGGGCTGGACGCGCTGGGCTGGACGCGCTGGGCTGGGCGCGCTGGGCTGGGTGAGCTGGGCTGGGTCCGCTGGGTGAGCTGGGCTGGGTGAGCTGGGCTGGGTGAGCTGGGCTGGGTGAGCTGGGCTGGG